CCGTCCGCGAGGGGCTGGGCTTCGTCATGATGGGGCCCGTCGCGCCGAGCTTGCTGGAGTGGCCCCCCTGGGACAGGCTCGCCGCCGCGGAGGGCGTCTTCTCGCTGGAGGTGGGGGAGGTGCTGGTGCTGACCAACCTGGCGACACTCGTGGAGGGAGATGGGCTGTGGGACGACTTCGCGCTGGTCTCGGGCGTCTCCGTCAACTACGGGGACGACTTCGTGGACTGCTACGCCGCGAAGCTCGAGCAGCTCGACTACGCCTGGGGCGAGGTGCCGAGGGGAGCGCAGGTGCGGCTTCGACGGGGGCGACCTCGGGTGGTACGGAGCAGGGGCCAGGTGGTGCCGATCGGTGCCTCTTGGGTCAATGAGTCGAGGTGGCACGAGCTCTTCAGAGGACGCTGGGAGGCGGAGGAGCACAACAACGTGCTGGCGCTGAGGTGTGTGATCAGCGCGCTTCGGCATTTGGCGAGATCCTCGAGATGCTGGAACAAGCGCATCGTGATAATGACGGACTCGGTGGTCTCAATGGGTGTTCTGCAAAAGGGTCGCTCATCGGCGACGCCCCACCTAAAACTGGCGCGGGTGGCCTGTGGCATCTCGCTGGCGCCGGGCATCAGGGGCTACTACCGGTGGGTCCCCAGCCAGTGGAACATGGCGGGCGGGCCGAGCAGGGGGGTCGATCTCGGGGCGGCGGACGAGACCAGGGAGGCGCGCGGGATGAGGGCGACGCCGAAGGCGGTGCGGCCGCTCCTGAAGGCGCCAGAACGGCGGCGGTGATCTACGGGACCTTGGCGGCGCGTCTGCAGCTCGACTACCTTCTCAGCAGGGGGGCTCGCGCCTCCCAAGCGAGAGCGTGGCGACCGCGGGCGCCTACCTCGGCGACGTGGGCCACTACTGCTACCTCATCGAGAGCTACGTCGACTACGAGAAGCAGCTGCGGGTTGTCCTTCTGGGTCGCACTGGCGACGGCGCTCCACGTGGCACATGGGGCGCGGCGCGGTGGGTCCGCCCCCCCGCTGCAGAAGCGCTGCCGTCTGCGCTGGAACAACCGCTGGGTGGTCCACGCAAAGGGCGACTCGACCAACGTCGTCTACGAGCGGGAGATCAGGGCCTTCCGCGTCGACTGCAAGCGCGGGGGGCCCCCCCTCATGACGCTGGAGCAGGGAGGCCGCGCCCTCGGCAATTACATCGGCGACCTCTGCTACTTGCGGGGCGACAACTACATGAATGCCTCGCTCGCCTTCGACGGGTCCATGCGCATCTTCGAAGACCATCGGTGGAAGCTCCCCACAGCGCATCGGGCGCTGAAGTCGTGGGGGCGCATGCAGTTCGGGGGCGAGGGGCGCCCGATCCCGTTCCAAGTTATGGGCGTGATCATCGCGAGGATGCTGGAGAAGGGCCACCTGCTGGAGGGCTGCGCCTGCACCGTCCAGCTGGACGGGCGGCTGCAGGCGCAGGACTGGGAGATGCTGCGGGCGAAGCATGTCAGCTCCACCCCCGACGGCGGCGTGGGGCTCAAGCTGGGCGACCGCATGGCGGGCCAGAAGACCAAGGCGGGCGCCAACCATGGAGCGTAGCGGAGTGGCCGATCTCGAGGCCCCTGCTGGAAGTCCTGGTCCAGGACCGCGAGCCCGACGACCAGGTCTCCCCCTTTCACCCAGCCGAGCTTCCGCAAGGTCTGGATGAAGACGCTGAAGGACGTCGGCCTCGAGAAGATGGGGCCTCCGCATGGGATGCGGCACGCCGCGGCGGCGCGCTTCCTAGCGCTGGGCGGGGACCTGGAGGCGGCGGCGCCGAGGGCGCTGGGCCTCCACCGCCGGCCTCCAGCGGTACACCATGTGCCAGCAGATCAAGCAGGGCTGCGCCTTCTGGCGCCGACCGCAACAGGCCGTGCACGACGCCCTCGCGCGGGGCCCAGGCGCGGGCGCGCCGCTCGGCGAGCGCCTCATCAGGGCGCGCGCGCACGGCCGTGAGCGGGAGACGGCCGCGCGCATGTTCGGCTCTGCGCAATGCTTGTACTTCCCCTACTCCTGTATCTAAGAAGAGAGCCATTCTGGAAAGGGGGGGGTCCTTGGGGGGGGCCGGTGGTTTTATCAAGCTTTTCCTGCCTCGCTTCCCCCCCGCCCGTCTTTGCCCGTGCTCGGCAGGATTTTGCCAAGGCATTTGGCCAGTGGCCCAGTGGGGTCGGCTGCGAGGGGTCGAAAATGTTCTTTGTCCTCGAACTCTGGTTGCACGCTCCGGTAGCTAGCTAGGGTCAGCTCGCCCAGGGAGCCAGCACAAGGATGCTGGCGTTTTCTCGAAGACATCTGGGGTTGAGGAGCCCCTTCCACTCGGCGCGGTGGTGGAAAGACGACACGTGTTTGTAGTATCTGCTAGCCCTCCCGGGCTCAGTCCCGCCTGCCCCCCTCGAGGGTTTCCAACCCCTCCCCAGACTGGCTATGAGTAGAAGGTAAGCCTGTAAATAGTTGTTCTTGAACTACACTATCCATCGTAGTCTGTAAGCCGCCTCTCCCCTCTGCCCCCTCTGAGGCTCAAGTCGGCCCCGCCGCTCCTTCCCTTTGGGGAGGGGTCGAAAATGCTGTTGGTCCTCGGACCCCTGTTGCACGCTCAGCTAGCTAGCTAGGGTCAGCTTGCTCAGGGAGCCAGCACGAGGATGCTGGCGTTTTCTCGAAGACATCCTGGGTTGAGGAGCCCCTTCCACTCGGCGCGGTGGTGGAAAGACGACACGTGTTTGTAGTATCTGCTAGCCCTCTCGGGCTCAGTTCCGCCTGCCCCCTCTCAAGGGTGTTCAACCCCTCCCCAGACTGGCTCAGAGCAGAAGGTAAGCTTGTAAATGTGACATTTTGGCGCGCCACTGCCAGTCGGAGGCGCGCCACTTCAAGCCTGGAGGCGGCGTCCCCCCCTTATCATGGGACAGGCCGCGGGGGTGTTCGCAGCGCCGTGAGCGGCGCCCCGGCCTTTCTCGCCACCTGCACCTGCAGGTGGGCGCATCGCCAGCTGCGGGTGGCCGCCAGCCGCGCGCAGCACCCTCCTTTTTTTTGTTGTTTGTCGTGTTTTTTTTTTTGTTCTCTCTCTCTTCTCTCTCTCTCTCTCTATATATATCCCTTGTCGTTCTCTCTCTCTCTCTCTCTCGCTGTCTCTTTCTTTGTGTGTCTCTCTCTTTCTCTTTCTCTGTCTCTCTCTCTCTGTCTCTCTCTCTCTCTCTCTTTCTCCCCCTTCCCTTCTATTGTCTCCTTCTTTGATTGCGCTTCCGTGTCAAACCAAACATGGGTCGCTCATGTGCGTCTCGTGCCCTCGAGTTTCGCGCCATTCTCGTCTCGAGACTTTAGCGACCGCCTTGTGCACCACCGCGCTGGCGTTTCCATATCCTCTCAGGTTAAGTGGTTTTCGCGCGTGTTTCGCGCCACTTTGCTTCGTCTCCCGCCTAGTGCATCTTGTATTCCATGCGGACGCGGCTACAACCAGGTCGATGCACAGGTGTCGCTGTGCGTTGGTAGGCGTTGGGGTAGTTCGGTAAACTTCCTCGATCAGTACGACCACCAGTGTAAATCTGCGCAACATGGTCTGCGCAACATGTTCACTGGCTCCGTCTTCACATGGGACTCGCTTGACGCACGCGCAACCATGGCAGTGGCCGCCCGCCTTGTCTCTGGGCTCGGCGGCATACGAACGGCGAACCACCCTCCAGGTGGGGACCGGTTCGAAATTTCAGGGGGCCGACGGGTCAAGTGGCTCCGTTAGGCCGAGACGCGATGGACTGCATGGGCAAGTATTGCCCCCTTCGAATCCGGCTAAATAATATTTGAGAACGCTGTCGCCCGTTCGACCACCGGTGGGATGTCCCGTGTCACCCTGACGGGCGGGAAGCACAGGGCCGCACGTGGCCTTTAAACCTCAGAAACTCAACAAACATGCTTGGAAATATTTCCAGTCGCGTGGAGATTCCATCCTCGAACGTGCTCCCCCCCGCCTCCTGAACCCTGGCGGCAGGGTAACTGTCACGATCGGTTTGCAGCCGCTCCTCCAGCAAACCGCGGGTGGCGCGTAGAAAGTGTTTGGCGGTGTCTCGGGGCTACTCCAGAGAACAATACCACTGCACGAAAGCTGCGGCGGCCTCTGCCAACGCGCGCGTTAGCGGACGGCCGCACGGTTTCCTTCGGCATTGCAGTGACCCGTTGGGCTAGGCCCCTTTTCGTAAGTCGAGCGTCCATAGCCGACCACGCTTTCCGCGTAGTCGCTGTGGACTTGTCCCCCATTCGGTACATTAGTTTCCTACGATGGCGCCGGAGCTTGATGAGGCCGAAACGACGGGGGGGGCAAATTCCCCCCCGCTACCCATAGCACCGTATTGGTCACATTCTTGACGATCATTGAAGGCAACTGTCCACTTCTCCAAGGGGTGTTATTCAAGCTCTCAGCGCAAGCCCTTTTGCCCTTCTTTCCTCATCATCCCTCCTCGTCCGTCGTATCTCGTCCTCCCTCCACTGTCCTCGGAAGCGCTTCGACGCAGGGCCAGCGTGCCCGCAGGCAAAGCTGCGGGCATGCTGGGCCGCGGTCTTCAGCAGCGTCGAGCGGAGGCATTCTTAGAGCCACGCCTGATAAGTTGCGACGAGCGAGCGCCCTGTCGAAGTCTGCCGGATTCCGCTCTCCCCTGCCCTCCTCGGCTACTTGTGCGAGTGACCCTTCCCTGGAGTGACCTTCGGTGCGGGCCCACAGGGTTACCCCCAGCACCAGCTTGCGCGCTTGGGTTTGCCCCCCCTCCCCACCACCCGGCCACCTAAAGCCGCGAAGCAAAGGTCACTCTTGCCCAGAGTCTCTCTTACGTGTAGCCGACATGGTCCGTCCGTTCCTTCCTCTGTCCCCACCTCGCTCCCTGCCCCTCCTCTGCCCTCCTTTTGCCTGCCCCGCCTCCCCTTCCTCATTCCCCAGTTCCCTCCCCTCCACCACCAGCATCCCTCCCTCCCCAGCGTAGCTAGCAGTGCACCCCCGCCCCCTCAGGAGGGAACGGCGGACCTCTGGGCCCGGACTGGCGGCAAGCTCTGGGTCAAGGCCATGCGAGGGGGGAACAGGAGGAGGAGGAGGAGGAGGAGGAGGAGGAGGAGGAGGAGAGGTGACAGTCTGGCCAAAGCAGAAGAAGATGCGGGAAAAACATGCTCGCCAGCGTGGACCCCGAACATTGCATTATTGCACGCCGGATGTGTATTACATGTGGTGCAGTTTACGTGGCGTACAATCTATGCAAACTATGTGGTGCAATTAGTTTTTGACAGCCCATGAGTTGTCGATTCCACTGCTCACGCAATCAGCCCACCCTCGCACCCGCAACTTGCATGGCAAAACCCATGCGGCCACGATTGCGGTTGCCGATTGGCATTTGCTAGGGTATCTGCGGCTGCGCTGGCGCGCGAACGCCCGGCAAGGTTTGGCAAAGCTGATGCGGCCGCGATGGCGCTTACCGATGGGAATGTCAGCGCCGAGGGTCGGTGACTCGAGTGGGCGCGGTATCATGATGGCGCCGACAACGGCGGCAACGATGATGATAATTGCGATGGTGGTGGCGATGATGACGATGACGACGGTAAGGCCAGTGACGGCGCCGATGATGGTGACAACGATGGCTATGATGATGTCTATGTGTCGGTAATGAAGGTGATTGTGCTGATGATGGTGGCAATGGCAGCGATTGACGCTGTCGAGGACGTCGGCGATGCGATGGCGCTACTGAGGGTGATGGCAGGAAGTGCGCGCAGAAATTCAGGCTATACGTGTTTTGAAATACTTCGCCTGCAAACAGTTTTGAACTGATTTCGACACGCGCGCGTGGCGGCGCGTGCCTATGGTCGCATGGCATAATTTGAAACGGTTCGTGCATTGCGCGCATGCTAGATCAACGAAGATGCGCCGCGTGTCCAGACGAGAATGTAAATGTTGGACGACATTGCTACAATTGCACAGTTTTCTTATAATTGCGGCATGTGCGCGCGAGCAGAAATAATACAACATTTCTGGAGCAAAACCTGCGGGGTTTCGGTGTTCTGTTCAGGCGCTTGCAGAACTAACGTATTCGGTATGGCATAGGCGCGCGCGTGTGGGAACTGGTTTCGCAATTATCTGTAACAAGGCGTCATTCCAGATCCCTTTGTCGTCATCCTTCCCTATATTTTGTTCGTTCTCTCTCTCTCTCTCTGTTTCTCTCTCCCCCTCTCTTGTTTTTCTTGCAGGGCCTCGTGCGCCCGACTCCTGAGCTGGGTCGTTTGCGCCCGCAGTGCGCCGTCGGTCGGCTCGGAACGCTGGTCTTCTGGTGCCGTGCTGTGCCGTTGTGCTGTGCCGTGTTGGGCGCTTGTTTGGGCCTCCCTAAATGTTGACCCAAGGGCTCCCTTCTGGAACTCGTGGGGCTGCGTGGTAGGTCGATCCTTGTCTGGCGGTGGCCGTTTTCGGGGCCCTTGCGCAGACCCCGTCGCCGCTTCTTTCATCCTTGCTCTTCGGTCCCGAGTTCACTCGGGGCCTGGAGCTTGCAGTGGATACTTAATAACCATCTCTCCGTTTTGGCGTTGGCTGTCTGTCAATATAGTTTGCTTGTCGCCATTTTGCCTGACTGACTGCCTGTCTGCCAGTGTCGGGTGTGTCAGCGTATGCCTGCGTGTGTGTGTGTGTATGTGTGTGTGCGTGTCTGTGTGTGTGTGTGCGTTAGTGTATGCGTGTGTTCGTGTGTGCATGTCAGTGTGTGAGTGTGTGAGTGTGCGAGTCAGTGTGTGAGTGTGTGTGTGTGTGTCTGTGTGTGCATGTGTGTGTGCTCGTGCGTCTCATGGTCGCTACGCGGCCGCCAGGGCACCGCGGGCAAGGTTTTTCAACCGTTCCGCCCTAGCTAGGCGATTTCGTCGGCTTTGTGTGGCGGGGGTGGGCGCGTGGGGAACCACCGCATTAGGGTCTTTCCCTTTGTTGTTGGTGGTGTTGTTGTTGTTGTTGTTGTTGTTGTTGTTGTTGTTGTTACATTTCCTTTGTTTTTTTGCTGAGTTGTTGTGTGGTCTCCCTCTCTCTATCTCTATCGTTCTCCCCCCCGTCTCTCCGTTGTCGCGTTGCCTGTCTGTCTGTCTAGTATGCTTGTCTCCATGTTGCTTGCCTGCCTGTCTGTCTGTGTCGGGTGCGTCAGTGTATGCGTGCGTGCGTGTGTGTGTGTGTGAATGTGCGTGTGTGTGTGTGTGTGTGAATGTGGGTGTGTCTTTGCGTGTGCGTGTGCGTCTCATGGTCGTCTTCCACGCGGCCGCTGGGGCCCCGCGGGCCAGGTTCTCCGATCGTTCCGCCCTAGTGTGGTGGTTTCGTCGGCTTTGTGTGGCGGGGGGGGTGCGCGTGGGGAAATCACAAAATTAGGGTTTCGTCATGTGTTGTTATGTTGTATCTCAGTTTTTTTTGTTTTTTTTTTTTTTCTCTCTCTCTCTCTCTCTTTTCCCCCCCTCTCCGTTTTCGTTTTGCTTGTCTGTCAGTCTCGTCTGCCTGTCTCCCTTTTGCCTGCCTGCCTCTCTGTCTGTGTCGGGTGCGTCAGCCGATGTGTGTTATGTATGTGCGCGTGTCATTGTAGTTGTTCTCGGTTTTAATCAACCCCTCTCCCCTATGCACCAATGCATCGAAACACATGTCACTGCTCACTTTCTATATGCTGTGGTATGGCTATTTTTCCCTGTCGCTCGCATTCGTTTTGTTTTTTTCCCAACCGACCCTCCTGGTTGTGAGGCCCTCGTTTTGAATAGGCAGCGCCGCGCGTCTCATCCTCCTCCTCCTCCTCCTCCTCCTCCTCGTCCTTCCCGTCGTCGTCCTTATCCTTCTCCTCCCTTCTCCCTCACACGTTTCCTGCCCCCCAGGGAGCACCACATATGGCCCCAGTAGGTGCGTTCGCATGGCGTCCCCGCGCCCCTTTCCGCACACCCCTCACACGTCTCATGCTTCCCAGGGGGTACAACCGATGGCCCAACCGGGTGCGTTCGCATGGCGTCCCCCCGCAGATGTCGGCACACCCCTCACACTTTCCCTGCCCCCCATGGAGCACCACCGATGGCCCCAGCGGCCGCGTCTCACATAGAGCGGGGCGCTGTTGCATGGCAGAACGCGGGGCGCCAGGGCGTCGCGTAGCGCATGGCGCTGTCCGTGGCCGGCTTCCAACGTGTCCCCCAGTTGCCTCTCGCCCGCGAGGCGATCGGGCATTCGCGGCACTCAGTGCCTCGCGCTGTTCTCTTCTATGGCGCGTGGGGCTTGTCTGCAACGCAGGCGTAGCGCGGGGCGCTGTTGATCGCTCTAATCGCCCCCGCAGATATCATTATTCCTCCTCTCTCTTCCCCTGTCCGTCTGCTCCGTGGCGCGTTCGTCGCCATCTTTCCTCGCGCGAAGTGAGTCGTGAGTGCGCGCGCGTGAATGCAGAACGTTGAGTGTGGTTTTGGCGAAGCGCCCAGGAAGTACCGTCAAAGTGTTCTTATGTTTTGAGTGGTCCCATTAATAGTTGCCTTGCTTTGAGCATGGGTTGGGTTCTTTGCCAGGCTAGTTTCCCAACCATTATGTGGTGTTGGGTCCTCGCTTTGAAGAAACAGCGCCCCGCGTTCACTCCTCCCGCTGCCCCCTCGTCCCTCCGCTTCCTCCTTGCCTTTGCCCTCTGAACCAGTCAACCATTTTGACACACCCCTCATACACTTCGTGGCCCCATTGGGAGCCCCACCGAAGGCCCAAATGCCAGCCTTCGCATGCGGACACCGTTCCTATTTTGGCACACCCCTCACACGTTTCGTGGCCCCATAGGAAGCCCCGCCGAAGGCCCAAATGCCAGCGTTCGCACGCGGCCACCGCACCCATTGGCACACCCCTAACACGCTTCGTGTCCCCATAGGGAGCCCCACCGAAAGCCCAAGTGCGACCGTTCGCGCGCGCCCACCGCACCAAGTGGGCACGCCCGTCACACGTTTCGTGGCCCCATAGGAAGCCCCACCGGAAGCCCAAATGCCAGCGTTCGCATGCAGCCACCGCACCTATCTTGGCACACCCCTCACACGTTTCGTGTCCCCATAGGCACGCGCCCATTTTGGAACAGCCCTCACACGTTTCGTGGCCCCACAGGAAGTAGCCCCACCGAAGGGCCGAAGGCCAGCGTTCGCACGCGCCCACCGCGCCCATTTTGGCACACCCCTCACACGCTTCGTGGCCCCATAAGGGGACCCCACCGAACGCCCAAATGCCAACGCTCGCACGCGCGCACCGCGCCCATTTTGGCACACCCCTCACACGCTTCGCGGCCTCATAGGGGGCCCCACCGAGTGCGGTGCATACGACGGCTGTACCCACAACTGCATATGGTTGGGTTCCTCGCCAGGCTAATGTTTGTGTTTTTTGTTGTATCCCTCTCTCTCTCTCTCTTTTTTTTCTCTTTCCCTCTCTCTCTCATCCCTCTCCCACGCACTATCTGTATTATCGGTTTCTCTGTGGGTTTCTCCCTCGCTCCTTTTCTCAGTGTGTCTTCCTCTCTCTCTCATTGTTCTCTCTCTCCCTTTTTCTCTCTCCCTCGTTCTCTCTCTCTCTCTCTCTTTCTCTCTCTGTCTTTCATTGGCACTCTCTCCCTCACACTCACCCTTCCCCCTCTTTTTTTGTTCTCTCTCTCTCTCTCTTTTTCTCTTTCCCACCCCCAGAGACCCTTCCATCCTCATCGTGCTCATCCTCCTCAGCCAAGGTGCGTTTGCGCACCCACCTGTCGGTCTCCTCCGCCGCTGTTTGCTTCTCAGGCATTTCCGATGCGGCCTGGACCCAAGGTGTGCTCACAGCCCAGGTCGTGGCACCGCCCTCTCAAGAGAGGGCTCGAGCTTGCCAGCGAATCGTTGCTCAGAGACAGAGGTGGTTTCGCAATCGGGGACTGTCTCTTACCCTGACTTGGCACGGCCTCGCGTGGGCAACGGTAAGTCATCGATCACGCGCTACATAGTGCACGTTCCATATTCGAGTCCGACGCGCGTTGTCAAGCCGATCCCTTTTCCTCTCCTGGGTGCTCCCCTTCATCAATGCCACCTTCAATCCTCGAC